GCAAGTATTCAGAGTGACATGAGCACACAAATATCAGCAGTAATATCAGGAATGGGAGTCACCTGCTGTGTATCAATTGCACTGGCCCTGAAGGCTGTCTTTAATGAGCACTTGGTAGCTCTCTGGCTCTTCCAAGGGTGAGGAGTAGGTAGGGTGAGCTGCCCTACAGCTTGCACAGACCCTGGAGCAGTGCCAGTAGGCTCTGGAGTTTGCTGCTGTCACTTTGAGTCTGCTTGGCAGAGGAAACAGTTTCTAGACACCTGGTGGCTTTGGTCTGACCTCTGCTGACAGAACAGGCAAATGGCCATGGCAACACCCATCAGGCTGAGCAAGCAGGTTGGCATTGTGCTTCAGATACCATCCTTGGGCTAAAAGCCTAGTAGAGGTCTGCCTCATAGAGCCATTGCCCAGATCCTGCAGAATATCTCCCTGTCACTGGCCTTTCTTCACTCTTGTAATGCTCTGCTCAACACTTCTGGTTTTGAGTCAAACTTTTCCCTCAAAGGTGGTAAAATAAATGGAAGGAATAATCTCAGTAGAGCATATTTCTGTGTATAACAGCCAGTCTAGCAGGGCCTAATCCCATCTGTGAACTTTTAAAAACAGATAAAGGAGAACCCACAGCTTCTGCTTTCTCAGACTTTCTCCAAATTTCCCCCCTTTGCATTTTACCTTTGGTTTTTTTTTTTTTTGTTTTTGTTTTTGTTTTTGTTTTGTTTTGTTTTTCCCAAAGTACAGCTTTACTGTAGAGTTCTTATTTAGCCTCATACCTGGTGTATAATCTTGGTCCTTTGAGTTTAACAGAGTTTTCTTAAAAATATTTTTCTTAAACCATGCCTCGAGGGGCATGTGGGAATTCTATCTCACAAACACAAAGCTTGTCTCTTTGCAGTTTCAGGGGAGAACTGAGAATAGTCATCTCCTGATGCCTCAGCCTAGAGGCCCACAGCCTCTCAGAAGTTTTTGAAGCAAGTTTCATGAATTTTCCCAGCTCTGATGTGAGGCTGGGGGAAATGGTGCTGCACAGCAGCATCAAGGGGAGCGTGCCATGTGCATAAAGTAGGCACCGATATGAACAGGCCACACTGCAACCACAAGCAAAGAGAGCAGCCAGAAGAAAATAGTGTGACCTTGCAGTGCAGAGCACCTTCACAGGAGGCCACAGTGACTCCCCAAAGAATTCTCAGAAGATTTTCCCTCAGATTACTTGGTCAGCAGCAGATTATGAAACATAATCGAGATGTGCTATCTCCCAACCCCCTCCACTTAAGAGCTAGACATACAGAGATATCCCCAGCTGTCCCTTTTCTGATTTTACAGGAAACAACTGGAGAAATGAAAATATAAATTAATTAAAATTTATTTATCAAACCTTTCAGTTAATCCTCAGAAAATCAAGAAAATTGTTTTCTCGGTTAAAGGAAAATAGGCAAATGGATAGTAATCTGAGGAAATGACAACCTCTTTGTAAAAGAAGGCACTTTTCTCCTGTGCTCCAAGAAATAGAGGCTATTAGGCCCCACTGAAATTAGAATAGTCCCTTTTCCAGCAGAATCTCTCTAGTCTAGAGTTTGAAATGAAGGGTGGGTGACTCTAGCTGACTTTTTGCATCTCCGATTAAGCATTCTCCCTGGATTCTTCCCCACTGTCCTGTGGACCTGGTGCAGCAGTTTCCACATGCATTGTGTTGTGGTTCCCAATCTGAACCATTCGAGCATGTTGAATGATGATGGGATGGGCACCTCCTGGATCTGCAGTCCTGTAGTGCTGGCCTGATGGGAGATTAAGTGGTTGGGAAGGAGAGGGACCCAGCTGAGCAGATGTGGGATGACCAGCCTGGAGAAGTGGGTGTGTGGCAGCAGAGACAGACGTTGGAGGATGGCATTGTTGGGATAACTGGAGAGGCAGGAGCTGTTCTAGCAGCTGCTCTAGGCTTGACTGATTCAGCTGCACTGCTGATGGAGACATCTGGGGAAGGGAGCCAAGGGTCAGAGCACCTAAGTTCTGCAGTGTTTGGCAGTGATCCTGATATAGCTCTTGTTTCCTTTTCTGCTCTTGGACTTGCTGTATCTGGCACCACATGGCCTTCCTTTCATTGATTTTCTCGGGGGTAAAGGTGTTCTGCACTGTCCTGGCAAACACAGGAGAGTTCTCATCCAAGGCCACCAGCACACTGAGCATGCTGGGAATCTGACTCCGCTCCAATGGATTCTCCTTAGGTACAAAAGGAATGACAGAGTTGTGCTTGGAAGGTCGCTGGATGGACTCCATTAGAGCTGAGTTTGTTTGAAACATACACTGGTGGCACAGAAAGTTCTTGGTCAGCAGAAGGATGAGGAAAGCAGAGTTTTCCATAGCATCCTGAAAGCAAGTCAGCTGGTTGTGTCCTGCAATGAGGAAGTCCTCACAGAATGTGGCACCATTGGGCACCCCCATGTTCTCCAGCAGGTCCTTGATGCGACATGCAATATGCTCATCTTCCCAAGCATGTAGAACAACAAAAGTGAAGAACTTTTTCTTTTCACCACTGGGCTCTGGTGCTAATGCTGCTTTCACAGTTTTTAAAGGAGGAGGGCAAGTTGGGGAGGCGGATGTGTGGAGGGAAGTGGGAAATGGTACGCTGTAAGGAACACTCTGAAGAGGAGGGGGAATGGTTGTAGAGGAATTGGTTTGAGGAGGAAAGGAACAAACTGAAGTGGAAGCAGCTGCGGAGTTGGAAGTGCCTGCTGGAATGTAGGAGTCTTCTATGGGTATGCAAGCAGGACCAGTATTTATTGTCGTTCTTGAATAGGGAAGACTTGTAGATAATTTTTGCTTTTGGTCTCTGTTTTTTTTTGGTACCTGAGGTTCTGCTATCACTGTGCTGGAAATATCGTCACTCTCAACAGGTTGGCCCACAGCACCAAGTGTGGGCAGCTGTGTTTCAACAATAGGGAGAGATGAATGACAGGAACTGACCTGCAGTGTCTTCCCCAGAAGGGGGACTTGGGGATTTGTGTCCTGAGTGGAATGACTGCTGGGGCTGCCTGTTTCCTGCAGGCTGTGGCTCTGTCTCTCTCCATCAGGCTGTCCAGTATCACTGGTGATCTCTTCACACAGCCGACTGGACTCACAGGAAAGAGTCGGTGTGCGAAAAATAGCTGTTGGCGATTGACTGATCAGGAGATTGGTGAAGGAATTGGAGATCCCTGAGGATTGCAAGGTCTGTGGGCCTGAAAAGTCTGAAGTGTTTCTAATCTTCATTGGGGAGCTTTTTGCCATGCTGTTTGGGCTGGTCATACGGACAAATCCTGTGCTCACATCAGATCTCAGTGTCCGAAACTCACTATCTGAATCCACAGTGCTGATAGCTGAGCCACATCTTTCCTGATCCACAACCGGGATGCTATTGAGTGTGTCCCTCTGAGCATCCCTGTTGATATTAAAAATGTCCTCAAAGCTTGGCTCGACGTCAGCACTCTGTGCCATCTCATCAGCTGGTGGCCAAGATGATGGACTGTAGCAGCGTGGATGGAAAAAGCATATTACAGCATTTGGATTCAAGGTTTATTTCCCCGCAGTGCTCTGCAATGCCCTGGTTGTACTTCCTGTACCATGCAAGCAATGCCTTTTTGCAGCTCAGTGATTCGACTCAGAAGTGAGCTATCTCTGTCCTGAAGAGCAGAGCAAATGAACCTATGAGAAGAACATGGGAGAACATACTGAGAAACGATGGGGCAGAGAGCTCCCAGGCTCTCAGAGCTCTGTTTTTTTTCCCCCCACATTTACTGCTTACAAATATGCCAGTACATGTGACATGCTACACACATAATTCCAACTCTGTTATTAAGCAAAGAGTAAGTTCTTCACATTCTTTTCACGTTATAGACAACAGTTTTAAAGTCACTGCTAAATTAATCATGTATTTGGGTAAAGCCATGCACTCATCTCCTCCAGGGCCGCTCTTTGCAGTGGCAAACTAGGAAATAAAGCCCTTTCAAGTCCCAGGAAGGCCAAGAATACCCACACATCTGCTCTTGGGCTGCCTCATGTCACTGTGGACATTGGTGTGATCTCCTTCTGTATCTAATCCCTGGTTTCTCCTAAACCGCAGCACTCACCGATGCTGACTGAGCTGGGTTAGATTGAATAGCAGACCTGCAGCTCCACAAAGAGCCTGGTGAACAGCTTTCTGCATATAAAGGAAACTGGGGTGTTTACAAATAGCTCTCAACTGGGGAAAGTCTAAAATTTAAATTTGTTTTTCTCATTCAGAAAAATTCTCTAATTGCCTAATGAATGAGTTCAAGCTGAACCTGAGGAAGTTGGTGGCTCTTTAAACGAAAACCGTTTCAGTGAAACAGTCGATGGGGGGAAGGAAGAAATGAAAGGCCGGGCATCGAAAGAGCAGAGCGGGACCTTTGTAACTCGTTGATACCCTTCCGCCTTGTGACTCAGCGAAATGCCCCAAACGCCCCCAAACTTCTCGTGGTTCTCACCGTGCCTCTTCGGCCGCCGCTCTCTGCCCCGACGCGCAGCGCTTCCGCGGAGCCGCACCACAAGCACCGCTTCCCCGTCACACCCCCCGGCTGTACGGTCCTACCTGCGCCGCTCCCGCCGCCCCGGAGCCCTCGGCCCTGCCCCTAGACCGCCACGCACCCCCTTCCCGCACGAGCAGCACCCTCCAGGGCCAGGCCGGGGGTCGCGGATGGGGCCTGAAGTGGGACGCTCCGCGCTGCCCCGGGCCCGGCGTCGCTGCTGCCCAGGCAGGGCCTCCTGGCATACGAGGAAGCGGAGAAACTCGGAACAGCGGGGCGGAGCAGAGCTCGGCCGCAGGGCTGGGGCGGAGCGGCCCCGTGGAGGCAGGACGGGAGCGGCGCTTGCGGAGCCGGGGCAGGAAGCCCGGCCTGAAGCAGCGCCCCCCCCCGCTGCACTCGCCCCCGCAGAGGATGAGCCGTAACGCCTTGTGCTGTCACCCTCTGTAATAGCTCCTGGAGGTATTTAACGCAAGCTGCCAAGAGCACATGCGCTATAAGAATTACATTTTCTTACAGCGAGAGGCTTTCAGCATCGCTCCTCCGAGCGTCAGGGGCCAGAGGTACGATGGGAGAGTGACGTGTGTGCAGAGTGGGGCTGGAGCACTGGGAGAGGGTTGCTCCTGGTGCAGCTCTTTTTATGCAAGAGGTGATTTGTCTAACACAAGCTTCCAACCTGCTCTAGGTAAAGGAAAGAACAAGTTTTATTTTCAAGTCTTTACCATTACTCCAACCCTAGCAGTGGTGCCATACCAATACAAAATAAGTGACACCAGGAACAGTTCCCAAGCAAACACTGCTTTGTAGAAGTGAACAGTACCTACCTCCCTGTTTTGTTTACAGCCACAAAATATTTCATTTGTAGAATTAATTTAAGCACAAACAGATAGTCACTGAAGTTCTTTTTACAGTCAGGAAAGACAGTCCCACTGCAGATTGACATGCTTACAAGAAAATCCCTCTACAAAAGAGCAAGTTTTTGGCTGATAAAAAGAAGTTACTTCTGAGAAACAGCCTCTCGCCCCCAGCTGAAGTCAGAAAGGAAGTAGTGTCTGTAACACAGTTTTAAAACTTCAGGAGGAAAACACGATCAAAGGTCAAGTGAATAATCCTTAAGATCTCTGCAGCTTGGATGAAGTTATTAACATAATTCAACATTAAAAATAACTCGAGACTTCTCATCCACAGCTTGTCTCAGCAAGAACCACCAGTCAGCTGTGCTGACTTCATTAAAAAAAGATGAAGTACAGACCCTCTACCTTCCTTTTTTGGATTAACATGCTTGAAGAAAAAAAATACATCAAGATCCGGAATCACCCCATCTTGGTCATCAAGCCTTCTTGCAAACTACATCTTACTGTAAGCTCATTCTGGGACAGTGAGAGCAGCAGCATGACTGACATTGGGTACACGATTAAAAGACTAAGGAACATTCTTACGGGCCTTAGCCAGATGAATTGAGCTTCTCAGGGATCTTCCTTCAGCGCATTAGTTATTATCTCCTTTGCAGCCAACACCTCTTCTGCATCTACCTTCCCTTCTAGCTTCTCTAGCATTCCACATGCTTCCCCCAGATTTGTTTTTGCTCCTTTTGGTTCTTCAGGCCTCTTAGTCACCTTTGATGAAGCAGCCTTTTCTACAGCAAGTGATTTTATATTACTTTTACCTTTTTTCCCCTTTCTGCTATCCTGTGACACTTTAGCTGTTGCCTTGAAGGGACCCACAAGCCAGTTTAGAGGGGTGTTCTGGGTTACATACTCAAACAGGACATTGAGAGACCTTTGGGCTTCAGCCACACAGTTCCGGCTCTTGGTCAGAGTTGTGCTGGAGAGATCCTGAAAAGAATTAGCATTGGCAAAAGAAGTGTGCAGCTTCCTGATATTTTGAGTTGCCTGATGCACAGCTTCTTGGATGTTCCAGGGGAGGCCATGGATGCTGACTTTCAGATTCTCATAAATAGCTTGTAGCTGCTGAGTGATGATATGCAGCATAGCTAGAGTCCGTGATTCCATCTGCTGGGAAAGAAATACAGCTCAGCTGCTGTAGCAGATGAGATGCACACCATTCACAAGAGGTCCAATTACATACACCCACATATACCTCCATTTGGGAAGCTGTTTTAACTTGGTGTCCCTTGGGTTGAGTCAGACACCAGCTCACCCACAGCTGATGGAGTTTCTCTTGCCCATCCAGAAGCTTCTGGCCAACCTCCTTTTTCACAGACTCAATCTGATAGGAAAAATGAGAGGCATAGTTGCATTCAATGTACATACAATCAGCTAAGCAAAAGTGGTTCTGTCAGCACTTCAGATAGGCAGGGACACAGCTAGGTGCAGGATGGAAAAGCACCTACAACCAACTCCTAAAGCAGAAAGGTTACAGATGGAAGGGGAAAAAAAAACAACATGTTTGTACCAGATTTATTGCCAGCTGTAGTTGTGAGAGTGCGTTCTGAGTGCTTTGTTTAACATGCTGCAGCTTGTTCAGGGAGAGCTGATAGGCTCGGTGGCGGACTTTGCTAGAAAGGGAACCCAGTCGAACAAAGTAATTCTGCTGCTGTTTCTGCTCCTCCACAGAAGCCATACCAAATCCCTCAACAGCAGTGGCAAGTTGACCTGAAGGAAACAAGAACAGAGGTGTAGCTGTGCTAGCTTGTAAGGAATGGCAGGGAGTAGTAAAATCCCACACTGGAAAAGTAGAAGACTGAAGTTGCTGTATAAGCAGTAGAGGTTTGCAGATGCTCAGGTATTAAAGGTGAGCTAGTCCCCAAACAGAGTGTTCTCTTCAGATAAGCAGGCTTGACAGACAGGTTGAAGCAGGCACCCACGTTTGTCTTGAGGCTGTAGGACAAGGAGTAGCTAGCAAATTCTTGAAGTCTGTCCCACAGCAAGCAGCTACGCAGCGTTGACAGAAAGCCATCCTAGTGATACATACAGAGCTACGTGTCTATTTAGATGACTCTTTCAGCATCAGGTGCTCCCCAGCCATGTGAGAAAGGCTTTGCATTTACAACCGCCAGCTCAGCATTTTCTCACCTAGTTCCTCTTCAGTCATGGGGAGGTAATGATCCACCAGATCTTCTGATATACCCAGGACAGATTCAACACCACCTGCCACTGCTTGTCCCACTGCCTTGGCTTTGCTCGCACTGTTGAGCACCACTGAATTAGTTATCTCCACACCCTCTTGGATGGCTTCTCTGCTCTGCTCAAGGGCTGTATTTATTTTGCTAGCTATGGTGCTGTACGCAGCATCCAGAGCTGTACTGACTGTTGAAGCAACCGCTGATTTGGTCTTCTCCATACTATCCTGAACAGCCACTTTTGTTAGATCCACTGCCTCTATCACCTTGTTAGTCACAAGGTTCCTGGCACCCTGGGCAACCTCCACAGCACTGACAATAGTATTTGCTACTGCAGACTTGGTCAGTTCCATGCTGTCCTCCACAACATGCTTACTGAGATCCACAGCTTCTGTCATCTTGTTACTCACAAGGTCTTTGGTACCCTGGGCAGCTTCCACAGCAGTGACAATAGTGGAAGTAACCGCAGACTTAGTCAGTCCCACGCTGTCCTCCACAATGTGTTTAGTGAGGTCTACTGCTTCAGACACCTTGTTAGTGACAAGCTCCCTGGCACCCTGAGCAGCCTCCACAGCACTGACAATCGTATTGGCAACCGCAGACTTGGTCATCCCAATACTGTCATCCACAATGTGCTTAGTGAGGCCTACTGCTTCAGTCACTTTATTAGTTACAAGGTCCTTTGCACCCTGAGCAGCCTCCACAGCATTGTTAACGCTGTAAGTGACCATTGACCTGGTCAGCTTAACACCATCCCCAACAGCATTTTTAGTGAGATCCATAGCTTCAGTCACTTTATCAGCCACTGCTTCTTTTGCCTCACAGGCAGCATCCATAGCAGATGTCACTTTGGTGGAAACCAGCTGTTTGGTGTCTGAGAATACCTATGACAGGAAGGGAATAAAGATTATTTTTTTCCTGAAGTAGGTTTTCCTTCCCCAGAGTAGCTTTTCCATGTGGATAACTGTTTGCACTCTGCTAGTAGACCAGAGAAACACACCGTTTCACGTTTGTTTCCACATGCTGAAGGCATATCTCCAGCTTTCATCAGCTAGCTATGAGTCCTTTAGCCTATACCAGGGACTGACGTGACAGAGCACTGTTGCCAAATTTTATTTCCCCAAGTTCCTCTGCGCCCATAACAGTTCCATCAAGAGATCAAGCCATGACTCCCCCAGAAAAAGCTTTTACCTTATCTGCTGGCTGTTGAAGAAAAGGCAAATTCTCCTCCAGCTGATCCAGTCTTTTACAGGCATATTCATTTGCAAGTGCAACTAGACAAAAAAAAAAAAAAAAGACAGTACCAGTTTAGACTTCAGTTTTCAGAGGGGTTTTGACCCTACAATGACCAACAAAGAGTGCTCACAAAAGCAAACAAAAATACTGTTTTGGGATGAGATGCATGCAATGCCCCTAAGTGACTGGAAGGAGTGGAACCAGGATCCACCTCGGCCTAGACCTCATTTAAGGCTTGACAGTAGAGACAAAGGGATCTTGTTGGAGATTTACTGTGTACTTAAGGCCTTCCAAAGGTAAGCCAGTTTTCTTCCTTCATTTCTGTGTCCGCAGCTACTGCGTTTGGGCTTGTCCTCATTTACTGCAGCCAAAGACTTTAACACCCTGCTATTACTGCTATACTTTCCACCCCATTATAACATTACAGGGGAGTCAAGAGGCCACACTTCACATACTCTAGTAACAATATTACATCCAGCAAATTCAGTGAAATTATTGAGCTGCTGAAAACAAACAAGCAGGGGGCTGAGTGCTACCATTAACTAGAATGTACTCTAAAGAAAAAAAAAATGAGGATGTCACTGAATGAGTCCATGAAACTCCCCTCTCTCTCTCTACTCCTTCTGTATAGGAAGGGCCCCCCTGCTTACTTTGTGAATCCAGTTGGTTCAGTATGGGCTGTGCGCCACCAACCACACTGCCTACTGCAACTGCAGCCACAGTCTCAGCCACATTGCAGACACCACTGAGGCAAGGATGCATTTCCTTAGTAGAACTGTAGGCAGATGAGACCAGGTTGAATGCAGAATTAAGCAAAGGAAGGTTGGTTATCCGGTTGACAGCACTCTAAAATCATAGAGAAATGTGTGAAGTCAGAGAACCAGCCTCAACCTGGTGTGTGAATACAAGCTATTAAAGATTCTAAGGCATTCAGTCTATCTCATCTTTTTTTTAGGCTCAGAGTTGAAGAGACTTGCCCAAAGACAAGTCTTTGTCAGTAGCAAGCCAGGAATAGAAGCTGGAGCTCCAGGCTTGTCATGACTAACTCAAACTTTGTTTTAGCACCATCAAGTTCATGTATGTATATGTAGAAGTATGTATAATGTAGAAGTAGGAACTATAACAGCTAATGTTTCAGAATTATTTGCATTACCTGAGCCAGCCATGGAATATTTCCTGGAGCAAGCTGGCTTCTGTATGAGTTTGGACTTAAGCACAGCTTCATTTAGTCATTCTTTCTGCTACCCCCAGCCTGTTTTTGAGATGCTGGCAGAAGTTGCTAACCACTGTATGTCAACAGGTAGTTTAACTGCCACATGATAAAGTACCTACCTCTTGCTGCTGTTCCTCAGCCTCCCAATCTTTTTTTGGGATCTGCTTTGATGCCATAGTGAAGTCAACTGCAGCTGAAAGGTCAAAAAAGGGCACAGATGTACAATTTAAGATTCTGCCAGTTAACCATAGTCACAGTAATACTTGCAAGAAGTAGAGGGCAACAAAGTTTGGATCCAGAGCAGTCTAGGAACTTCACAGTAGCATTGCTACCAACTTCAGCAACGCTGGAAGTCTCACAGCTCTGGGAAGAATATGAAGATGCTCCAGAGCAGGCTGTGTTCCTGCTGTAGCATTCTGATCATCTACTTAAAAACTTGTTCTGGTCCTGCTGGAGAGCAAAATTCACCTCCTATGATACTAACTCTCGGAAGCATTCTTACTTCGTAATGGGATTTAAGAAGTTCAAGTATAAAAGTGATACAACAGCTTGAATGTGTATTGTCTCACTAGCTTGGATCAAGGTTGACATCCAGACACACCAGAATAATGACAGATCTAAGATTGCATCTTGCCTCAGTCAGGCATAGCAGAGATTTCAGCATACTTGTTGTTCCTTGCAGTATCTGCTTCCCTGTCTTGCCAGCTAGTGTCTCTCTTCTTAGAAATCCTACAGCATTTTTCCAGTGGGAATCCCTCAAACCAGAATTCATTACAAACAGGATTCCCAAGCCAAGAACTAGACTTCCTGGCAGACTATCCAAAATGCCTGCCATTTGATAAGCAGCATAGACTGCTGTCTCTTTCTTGTCAACACTGACCTGCTTAATTCTTACATTTTGCTGTGGAAACAGGAACAGAGTTGGGACAGAAACAGTGAAACGGTCATTTGTTTGCTCAGAACAGATGATGGACAGAGCTTGGGGAGACTTCTCAGTAATCAGTGCTACTGTGTTTGACAGTCTGGCAAGTTATGTATGGAATTAATTGGCACTGTGGTGAGAGCAAGGCAGTCAGGGATGCAGAGTACATGCCTATAGCAGGAGTTGTCACAAACTGGGACACTCTCCTTTTCCTCTGGAGGGCCAGCTGACATAACACCACATCAAAGGTACAATTTAAACTTCAGCAGCCTGGGAAAGCTTCCAGAAAAATTGCTCCAAGTAAAAGCAAGGCTTGAATGCAAGTTTCATGCCCAAAGTCCATATGGTTTGCACAGTCAGTAATTACTCCTCTCTCGAACAAGTTTGTTTTTTGAAGCTGAGAAGCACAGCTATTTCAACACCATTATAAACAACTCCTTTGCTGAGTTGCATCACTTCTCAACACTGAGAAACACTCATACTATAGCGTCTCACTGGCTGGTGTCAGGGTTAGCACACAGAACAAAGTACAGCCAGAAGTAGTGCTCTAGCTGCAAGTGTAAGTCAGGAGTAATTAAATTAAAAAAAAAAAAATACAAGGATTTAGAATCAACCTCTGAAGTACTAAGAGCTCTCCTAAATTATGGAGGCAGCAGTTAGTGACAACCCTCACAGCACAGTCATGTTAGAACATAGTTTGCTGTCCTCCAGAGGAGAAATCAGGGTGTGTTGCAACTCCAGTGCTTGTAGCATGGATGTGTCTTTGTGAGTCATGCAGACAGGGTAGTTTTGTTTTCTCTTTCTATGCTCTCACCTCCAGAGGTGGGGAGCAGATCTTATGTGCTGCTAGATCACAGGGAAGCACTGTACTCAGCAGCTCCACATCAGTTGTTTCATACTCTCTGCTGGGAGACGTGACTCTAAACTGGGGTAACTGCAAGCAGAAATCCCACAGTCTCCTCTACCAGCAGGCAGCCTCTGAACGAAGAAAGCAGAAGCAGCATCACTACTTGCTCTAGTTGCATTAAGCAAACCAATTCTCCCTTAGCAGGACAGCTTTGTCTTGCAGATGACTTCATATTGCTACAGTAGAGATACGAGGTCACTGCTGGAGAACATTCTCAGAATAGTTCCAGAAAAAAACAAAACTTCTCAGTACATCTCTCTAGTGTGGCACAGTCACATAGCTATTGGTTATTGCCAAATTTGGCACAACTTGGAATTCAGCAAAACAAAGGGCTAAGGCACCAAAACTCCAGAGCTGCTGCCTGCCTGTTTTCTTCACCTCAGTCTATCACCACTCTGCAATAGGGTAGCCTGGCACAAAAGTGCTTTCTTGCTGTGGTAGGCAGCTCCCCTCATTTCTGTCTCTGACAACAATCAACATACACACATTAAAAAAAAAAAAAAAAACAAAAAAAAACAAAAAAACAACAATCCCCAATTTTAAGCTTGCACAGGGCTTTTCTTTTTCTCTGGAAACAAGTTCTGCCCCGGGGGGAAGCTGTTACATCATCCTGTGGATGGAGAGGTAGGATCTCAATTAGGAATCTTTTCTCCCCTCAGTGTTTCATCTATGGAACACTGATTGAGTCACAGCTAATATGCCTAGTTCAATAGCTTACCTGGCAGCTCTTTAATGCACATTAACAAATGAGGCTAAATTTAACAATTTGGATATGAGCTGGGAGGACTGTCCAGGGCAGAGGTATTAATCTTTGTTTGAAGCACTTATTTGCATTTTTTTTTTTTTTCAGATTTATCATTAATACCCTAGATACCATAAATGTGGTTGGCATACTGTGGTCAAGAGAATTTCTGCTGCGGGGGAAATGGCAGTGCCCTCAACCAATCATGGTGTTTGCAAACACTCAGGGTAGAGCAAGATCTGGAAATGGGATTAGAGAATTTAGGCATTGGAACAGCAAATACAGAGTTGCTGGCAGAAGTACACATCTGCAACCTTTCTAGAAAGGCTATCACTTTTAGGACGCCTCAAAGGCTAAAACCACTTCTGCAGTGGGAGTCAAGGATTGCTCCCTCCCAGAATCCCATGGGAAAATGAACACCATTGGTGGCCATTACTAAGTACTTCCTTGGGACAGGAAGCATACAAGCTCCTAGAATTCGGAGATAATTAAAACCATTTCTTCTAAGAGAAATGCTTCTGGGCTCCCCAGTATTTTCTGTTCACTGATTATAACGCAATAACTTCCAGAACTCTGGACTGCACCTGGAACTTGCAGAGCAAGAAACATGCTTTGCTGACTAGTAAACAGGAATTTCAATCTGTCGGTTTCAATAGAACCGACTTTGGTAATGAAGTCTTTCACAGACACAATTTCAGGTAGCCACAACCACATGCAGAATCCTGTCAGTCTTGAGAAACACCACACAGGTTTGCCAAGTACTCCTTCAAGCAGCCAGGCAAGGCTACATGCACGGCTGCAGCCTCTGTCCGCCCATGAGCAAGAAGTTACCTTGTCACTAACCCCTTCGTTAACTCTATTATCATGCCTCCACCGAGTGATCATCAAGGGAAATAGCTATAGGCAGTAGTGTCAACAGGAAGGGCATGCCCACCTGAATCACAGATCAGCAGCAGGCACATCATGCACAGTCATGTACTGCAGACCCCCTGCCCTGCCTCTTCCCTCTAGAGAAAGAAGAGCTTTTGGACCTGCAGCTGCCCCAACACAGCTCAGATCCACAGGGATCTTATCAGAAGCTTCTTCCTAGCCCTAAGATCTTTTTCCTGGCATACCAGGTAAAGCACTGTCACCAAGATGCCACTTTGTCTCTCTAGTAGCCCATCCCAAGGCATCTTTTGTGCCTAGAAATGGGGAAAGTAGCAAACAACACTGGGACTGCAGCTGCCCCTAGGGAAGCTGATAGGGGAGAAACACAACCCAAGCAGGAAAAGGATTTTAGCCTTAGTGCTCCCCAGAGGCAAGAGTCAGCTTGAAGCCCAGCTTCTGCCTTACATCTCTGGGAGGGCTGCAAAGCAAGAGCCAGCCTCAGGAGCCACACGGTATGGGAACAAGCCAGATGCTCAACCCACAACATCCTCCCCACCAGCCCTCCCCCACTTACCTCGCCTGCGTCCTCGGGTTCAGCAACAAAAACAGAGGAGCCTCGCCTCGCTTAAATACCCCGCGGGCCTGATGAGCAGACCAGATAGCCAATGGACGCACGACACGCGCTGCCCAGGCCAATGGGAAGAGAGAGGCGGGAGGTGTGAGGAGGCTCCTCTGAGGGGTCAGAGCTGAGCCGCCCCCCGGAATAGAGACAAAACTGATGGGGCCTTTTAGGGGACCGCGTCGGAGGGAATCCGTCCCTGCTGTGCTCCCTGCCCGGCAGGGACCGTTGCGGTAGGACCAGGGGCTGGAGGTGCTGCCATGGGGCCCACCCAGTGCTTGGCCCTCGGCCTGCAGGTGCTGCTCCATGGTGGAGATCACAGAATGTTAGGGATTATAAGGCATCGTCTTCCAATCAAGATGAAACATCATCTAGTCCAATCCCCCTGCTGGAGCAGGGGATCACAGAATCACAGAACTGTAGGGGCTGGAAAGGACCTCTAGAGATCATCAAGTCCAATGCCCCAGCAAAGCTGGCCCCCTACAGCAGACTACACAGGTAGAGATGGGTGAGGTACTTGCACCAAGCATGCTGTCCAGACAGAGATTGAGAGCTATTTCTGCAAACCTTCCAACAAAGAACTGCTGCAGAGCTGTCTGTGCTGTTGGGGATTCACGTCTGGGCCTTGCACACCACCCACAGTGTAGGGTCATGCATCGCAGCTCACATTCAGCTGCAGTTTGGGAACAGGAGTTCAGCCCATTTCTCAGGTCAGGGCTCAGCCCCTGCCAGCAGGCAGCTCATGCTTGGCTTTTGCCAAAGCTGTGTTAGCAGCCAGCAACGTGGTTGGCAAGTGCTTGGGATGGCATGCCTTGCTGGCACTAGGCATTGCCCAGAAGTCTCAAAGGAGTAAGGCAGACAGTCTGTGGTTCAGCCATTGGTGTTTCCTTTGCAGATCTCCCCTGCAGCATGAGCTGGAACTGCCGAAGGCAGCAGGCACTCTTGCCCCCAACCTGCGCCTCGGCACAGCGAATACATAATGAGGAAAGGTGCTGCTTCTCCAGCTGTGATTTTCAAGGTAGAAGTTGTCTTTCATTTTTATACTTGCGGAGTCCCCAGCAATACAGGACTCTGAGCCTGGCTAGAAGAGATACGGGCTCTTTAATATACAATAAATAATGAATGTTTTAGTATTTTGTTTTTCTGTTTGTGTTGCTTCATGTTCAGATCTCAAAAGATGGTTTGAAGCTATTAATTAAGCTTCCTGTTGTCTGTTTTCCAGATCTGAGGGGAGGAAACTGAGGCACAGGTAAGAATTATCTGAAGTCTTCTAATATTCAGCTGATTGAGTCACTTTGTTTTTGGCCCATGCAAGCAGGAGACCTTGGGTCTCATTTCTGTGTTGCCTATGGAAGCCATGAAGGAGATGGGGCGCATCAGTGTGTTTTGAAAGCGTGTTGTTAAGCTAACAAAAACATTGACAATTATCACTTTGCAGCTTTGAGGTTAAAAGGAATCCCCCTCCTTACCTGAGTCAGACTTATCACCATCTTATTGCCTGAAGAATTTTGGAGATCTCAATATGGTGGCTTTTATATGTTGTGATGTGCACAGGGGAAGGATGGATGTTCTTATCTGTCCTCAAAGATCTGAGGAAACGTTTTTGTTTCAGGAACCCAGGAATCAAGAAGTTAGTCCTGTGTTTTTGTAAATGTTTGGGCTATATATGGAGGTGGGCTTTGTGTTCAAGTAAGCTAGTCCAGGGGTGTGCAGGGCCTGAGCAGACTTAGGTCTGGTGATGATGGTGAAAGTCCCATAAGCAGACTAAATTGCATTGTTTAAATGGGTAAAACAGCGCTTGCAATCTGCACAACACATCTTCATGTGACTTGTAGCACAGAGGAATGTGTGTAGAAGTGAGAATTCCCATGTTCCTTTGTAAGTGGCAGGTGATTTGCATGAGTTAACAGTGTTTGATATCTGAAGTGTCACTTTGGTGATCCAGGACAAAAATACTAATGCTTGGAGCTGCTGCTCAGTGATAGACCTGCCAGTACTGTCAGAACTCGGAAATTTTGGAGATTGTAATTTAAAAGCAAAGGTTTGCGTGCTCATTTCTGTAATTCTTGTTGTGTATATACACCATATAACTAAAGCAAAGATAAAATCAGTTCAGAAGCTTGGTGGGTGTGGGAAGGTGTAGGAGGAAGCAGAGAAACATGCTTGCGGAAGAGAGTCATGCTGGCTGGAGCAAACAAACCCTGTGGCACCAGACAGAGTTATTCTGCAGCCCCTGTGCATGTGCTACAACGTCAAGACATAGTGGAAGTGTGGAGGATTTGAAGGATCAGTCCATTATGATGCTTTCCCTGTGTTAGTCTCCGTTCCTCTCCCTTCTCTGTGGTGTGCTCAGCATCATCTCTTTGGGGACCAGAAGACATGCATGACACCCCATCTGCCAGCGCACATCTGCTGCAGCGGAAACAGTCTTGTTCATCTTCACTAATGCCCTTTATTCCATAAGTAATATGCCAAGATGCTGTGGTCACCTTCCCCATGATAGACTCAGGCATGAGAAGAGATGATTCATGGGTGAGGCATGTGTTGCTTTGATTTCTGTTCCTTGCTTAAGTCAAGTAAAGCCCTCAGGCTTCCATCAAACTCCTTCACAAGCTCTGCTCTGTTTAGCTCAGGTGTCCCTCTTTTCAGAGCTGCAGCACAGAGTTGTTTGGAGCCCACTGAAGGGACAAGTCAGCCTGTGGTCTTTGCCATTTGTTTCCTTGCAAGGTCCACAGGATGGTGTGCCCCATGTATCTCCACTGCCTGGAACCTCTGCTCTCATATTCCTGTCTTCAGGAATATTCTCCACCACTTCCCTTTGATGGGAGTGGGTCCTTTGGGTAGCAGTGCAAAAATAGTTTCAACTGGTAATGACAACTCAAAGCACTTAACCCTTCATACTGCAGCTTCCTGTCTGCTGCAACAGCAGTTGTTGCTCTTCACAGCAGCCTTGTCCAAGACCACGGTGTGAACAAGCATTGGGTATCCTTGTGCTAGTCCTGCAGTTCTGGCTATTTGGATCTAGAGCAGAGTGATGGAGGCAGGGCTGTGGCAAGAGACTCCTGGTTGGATCTTGTCTTATTCTACCCAGCTCTTGGTTTTTGCATGATGATCTGTAAAGGCAGCGGCCATCAGAGTGCCATGGCCTTCTGAAAACTATTTGCTAGTGAAGTACCAAAAGCTTTAGCCTAACTTTTACCTCCCAAACCTGTTCTTCCTAAACCTTCAAAGCACTTTCCTTGTCCAAGGCATGCTGCAGCTCCCTACTGCCAGTTCTGTGTTCTGCAAACCATGAAACATGCTGTTACCATGAAGCTTTTAAGCTCTTAGAGTGTTTAGATCTCTTGTGAGTTTCTCGTAGTTTTCTAGGATGAGACACCCTGCTATTTCTCCCCAAATTCTTCATGTCTTCAGATACTGAACAGAAAGTGCTGTAAAGGCACTGTAAGGCATAGATTATGGATCATAATAACTATGATGGGTAGATTGTCCTGCCCACACAAGGGCAAATCTTGGAGCTGGTATAACCAGCTATCAATTCTTCTTTATCCAACATTTTTAAAATCATGCTTATCAGCTGGTATTCCTTATGTGCATGCCTGTTCAAATATATATTCCTTGTGCATCAAGTTAATGTGACACAGTATTCAAGGAAAGGGTCAGGTCTGGATCTTAAAGTGTTCTTTTTGAACTGCTTCTTCCACTTTTATAGAGGTGTAAGGAATGCTGAAAAAACTCTGAAAGGGGGTATTAAGTGTATGTTGTTAAACTGGAAGTTGTGAGAGGTGTGTGTTCTCCACTCTTCTAAAAATGGGACTTGGGTGACTACACATGCATCCAGGTAAGCTGTTAAGCAACACGACTTGAGACTTTAACCCAGAAGGCCCAAACATGAGATATTTTAGATGCACAACCTGTCCTTATAAGAGTGAAAACTATTCTCCCAATGCACAACCTTTCTTCCTGCTCCCTGCCAGCTCTGAAATATCTAATAACCCCTTCAGAATGTGGAGTTTGCTGCTGCAGTGGGTCAAGGTTAAGACTCCAGTTCATCTCTAGGGGGGAAAATGACTTTCTCGTAAGGCAAAGCCTTCAGACCTGGGAGGAAATGAAGCCTGACTGCTGCAGGTCGTAGGTCATATCCAAGGCTTTTATGCACTGATACATGCCTAACCTTTGGTACTAACCTAATCTAAGCCAATGCCTTTCAACCTGTGATCTGTGGCTTAGCTGTGGGATCCCCAGCAGATTCTAAGGATGAGAGCAGGGGGAAAAGGGAGGGATGCATACTGCTCTATTGCTGTATGCATTCACTACAGCAGTCTGCAAATCGGGGGTGTGCTGGGTGCTCCATCCCACAGATTTTGTGTTTTTTAACATGCACATGAGAGATTGGCTCTGTGCCTGCAGGTGCAGGGGGCATAGCAAGGGAAGTTCTGCTTTGCATTGAGCTCCAGAGCACCTCGTGCTCTCCTTGTCTGGAAGGACCAGATAGCGGCTCTGCAAGGCCCAGGCAGATTGCAGAGCTGCTGAAGCTGCTTCTGTTGGAGCCACCCGCCTGCAGCGACCACACTCCAAGCTGAGCACCTCTTCCCCACCTTATCCAGTTTTCATTCTTTCCTACTTCTTTCCAAGCCGCCTCGTTTTCTCAGAAACCTCTTGGTAATCCCCAGCTTATGGTTTGCTCCACCTGACACCCAGGCTCAGCAAACTTTATCCTTTTTTATTTTGTTCCTTGTTGGAGGATAACTCCCCAGAGCAGCCCCACTCTCGGCACCCAGGCCACATTTCTGAAGGGCCCCCTTCTGCAGCACTGCTGCCCACCCCGGGGGCTCTGCTGCTCAGAGCTGAGGGGCTTGGAGCTGCAGGTCCCTGGAAGCCTCTCCCCACCACGATGGTCCCTCAAGCTGCCCTGAAACGTGTGCTACATGGTGGGCACTGGGTGGTGATGGCGTGGCCTGGAGTTATGGCGACTACAGGGGAATGAACAGGTGAGACTTTGGCTTTGTGGACCTGTCGGCGGGACAGTCGTGCTCCCAGTTTTATATTACGGGACACTCAGTGCTGCCTGCGCCCTGGGATGCTGCGGGGCTGTCTGCTGCGCGGCTCTCCCGACTCCGCGCTCTTCGCCCCCCCGGCACTGCCGCTTTCCCGCCCGGACCTCCCTGCAGCTCCGCGCTCCCGGGAGGCAATGGCGGCCCCACCCCTCCCGCTCGTTCCCGCCAGCGGCGACCAATGGGCGGGCGCCCGCCGCGCACGGGGCTTTTCCGCGCCAAACTCCAAAGCCCGGGGAGAGAGCGGGCGGCGGCCGCGGGGCGCAGCGCGGTAGCGGCCTCCAGCACCGCGGAGCTACGCTGGTGAGTCCCGCTGACCCAGGCCTGCCAATAGGGTTGCGGCCACACTGGGGAGGGGGCGGCGGCGGCGGCGGCGGCGGCGGGAATTCACCCTCGCGCTATGCCTGTTGCGAGCAGCGGCTCCGTGTTGGTGACAGCTGCCGGGAACTCGCAGCGCCCGTCACCGCGGGGCACGGTGCTGGGGGGCGACTCTGCTCCCGGACGCCGTGCGTAGCGCGGAGCTCTGGGGCTGCGGCCCCTGCCCTCGCCATGGGGCTGTGCAGCGGGGGAAGCGCGGGCAGCGGGGCGGGCAGAGGACCGCTGTTGGCTCTCAGAGCTGCCAGCAGCCGCGGGTTGGGGCGGTGGGGGCCGCTGCGGGCTCCGTTATTTTTTTTTTCCGGGGGAGGAACGGCAGCGGCGCCCCCCGAGGGTGGTCGTGGGAAGAACGTTTCCGCTGCTGCCCGTGGGGAGCGCTGCCGTTCCTGGCAGTAGGGCCGCGGCGTCCACTTTAAGAACTTAACCCCCCGCGCCCCAACCAGTGCTCCGCTCTAATTTGCATAGTCTCGCGATGTCTAGGGGGAGGCCTCCGCGAGAGCTGAGAGTGTTTCAATTGTGGCGCGAGATACAATTGGCGCGCGGCGCCCGCCCGCAAGGCGTAGTGAGGCCCGGGCGCGAGCTGGGCCGTTAGGCGCGGCGGGGGAGGGGGCGGGCCTAAGGCACCGGCAGCCAATCCGAGCCGGAACCGGCCGGGCCGGCGGCCAATGGCGCGGGGGCAGCGGGAGGGCGGGCCGGCCGGGGCCGGGCTGGCGGCGGGCTGAGCGCGGCCTCAGTGGTCGGGGGGCTGCCGCGCCGCGCTCCGGCGCCGTCCTGTGACGCCGCGCTGCTCCCGTAAGGGCCGGCGCCATGTGGATCCAGGTGCGCACCATGGACGGGAGGGAGACCCACCGCGTGGACTCGCTCTCCAAGCTCACCAAGGTGGAGGGGCTGCGCCTGCGGATCCATGAGGTGTTCGGCGTCGAGCCGCACCGGCAGCGCCTCTTCTACCGCGGCAAACAGGTACGGAGCGCGGGGCGGCCGCGGGGCCCTCTCGCGGGGGGCGGTGGGGCTGTGCCGCTCTGGGGGCGGTGACACGGTGACACCGCGCGGCCCCGTGCAGCGTTCTCCGCCCCAGCGGTACGAACGGGCGCGACGCCGGGAGCGCTGCAATGTTGGGGGGGATGGAGCCGGGGCAGTCCCGGGCTTTGTGTGCCGCCCCTCCCCTCCTCTGTTCCCTCTGTTCCATTTGGAGTGTGAGGAACCCAGGATATCCGCGGTCGCGGGGGCGGGAACCACTGGCCGCGCCAGGGGGGCTCCCGTGGGGCTGCGGGTCACTGACAGCCGCAGTGTTGCTCGGCGATGCGCGCCGAGGCGACACCAAGCGCTTGGAGCAGGCGCGGTCTGCCACTTCGCTAAGTTTGCTGTGTGCTCCTGCATCCTCCGTTCTGCATGCGCGTTTGGGCTTTTTGTCAGTTCGTTGCAGACAGAACCGTTTACACTGTCCAACCTCCTTCGATCTTCCTCTGCTGTGCCCATCAGCACTTTGGCTTTGGAATCGTTAGAAATGGTTATGTTTGAAGAAGACAGGAGAAAGCTCGTTAGTTTAAAGAAAGTGCACCCGTTGCTGGAGGTGCACACGCAGCTGCTTCCACCTTCACCAGGAGTGCTTTGCACGCTGTGGTTTGGCATCCTGGTGCGGTTCTCTGCTGCTCTGCACCTGCTGCCACATGGTCTGTGAGCGCGCCGCCGTGCTGTCGCTCTTTAGAAGAAGTGGCGCGCTTTTGGTTCATTCTTGTGTATCGCAGTGAGTCTTTGTCTCTCAACCAGATCCAGCCCAGAGCATTTCCTGCACACTCCGATTTCCAGGGATTGTCCTGTAACCATTCAGTGCCATAAATCAGAATTGAGATATCATAGCGATTCCTGTAAAGTGTGAATTTTTGTGGCTTTGCTCTGTTTCCCGCTAATAGAGAACAAAGCTCTTGAATTGCAGCTTCTGGTGGTTTGGGCTGAAGGGGATGATCATTTCCTGTATAATTTTTTAGTCAGACCTTTTATGCAGCGAAGCTTTTGTCTCAGCTTCTGACTGTGCCGTGGCCTCAAGTGCAGTGTTCTGATGGCAGTGAGAGTCCTACCTGCCCTCTGTGCCCCTCTTTTTCTAGGAGCGAGATATTTATTTGACTCCATACAATGCCATACTTGCAAAACAATCCTTAAAATTGTGGAGGGTGTGACACTAAGACATGCCCTGCTACGCTAAGAAGTGGCTGGACAGTTCCAAGTTGAAGTGAATCCTTGACTGTGCTTCCAATGGAAAAGCTGGAAGTCTGGAAGAAAGAACGTTCCTTGGTCTGTACTTAATGCTGCATTTCAGAGCGAGGTTCTAGCAATAATCTGGAGCATGCAGAATGTAAGGACTGTTCTGTGTTAATATTTGTATGATGGGATGTGTCTGAATTAAGGAGCTTGCATCAGAGTTCCTAGGTAATGTGGAATAATCTTTAAGTTTTGATAGGAAGTAGGGAATCTGTGGTTCTTTTAAGTTCTTCTCAGAGTTGCATTTCTAAGGAGTGTAGCAGTAACTTTTCCAGAACTCATAGAACACAGCAGTTTAATGTGGGTAAAAGTCCATTGCAGTATGGAAACATAGTTTTTTGGTCTGTGGAGCCTGTTGGAGAAAAAGGAATGTTTTAAAATAGAATAACAATGTGTGACTATTGTGCAACTGAAGAACTGCCAGGTCCCCAGTTGTTAGTGGTCTTTGAGAAACGTGGTTGGTTTTGATGCATGAAGACAGTTGCAGCACGATGGATGGTTTTGAATTGGAAAATCTCCATTGAATTCAATAACCAGATGATTTTGATGCTTTCCCTGCAGATGGAGGATGGTCACTCCCTTTTTGATTACAGCGTTGGACTGAATGATATTGTTCAGCTCTTGGTTAGACAAAGCCCAGCAGTGCTTCCTGCTGTGAGTAAGGAGAAGGATTCAGAGCTCTCTGACACAGACTCTGGCTGTGGCTCAGGTCAAAGTGAATCCGACAAAAGCTCTCACAATGGAGAAAATGTCATGGACCTGGAGGGGCAGCCCAGCACGGCAGCACAGTCTGACTGGGCTGACCCAGGATTTGGCCTCTATAAGGTGAGTCAGTGAAGAACAGGAGTTGCTTGGAGCTGTGCTTTGGGAGGGAAGGGGTTTTTCTGTGGTTGAGAACTTGGGAAAATCTTTCACAATACAATTGGTTTTTTTTGTTTATATTTTTTGAACTTTGCAACAGCAAAACAAAAAAAAATACCAATAAACCCACAAACTAATTAAATGCAACATGTTCTGGGTTAAAATAATTATTTTTCATTTTCCCCTTTTAATTAGAATTACAGTATGTGTCCAAGGCCGAAGCTTCCCTGAATGGACAAAAGGAAATTCTCAACCAGCTGTTCAGAATCATTTTACTTCTGTTTCAGTGTTTTTTATTACAGATCTAGTGTTCTCTTTGTCAGATTATGAGCAAGATGACTCTGAAAGCCTGTTGTAGGTTAATTAATGGTTTGTACTAGATAACAAGGCTTTTTATACGTGCTGGTATATAATGGATTTTTAGCCTGACAGGATCAATCAGAGGAGACCATAGGGGGATGCATGTTGGGAACAGAAAGTAAAGGAGATCTTAAAGTTAATTGGTTAAAAATCTTGACAGTAGTTAGCTAGAGAAGGTTAAATTTTCAAGTAGATTGGAAAATAAATGCTTACTTTGAAAATGACTTTGGTGAGCTGTATACTTTGCTTTATATAGATCAATGACTTGGTTGATGCTCGTGATATGAATATGGGAGCATGGTTTGAAGCCCAGGTTGTAAATGTAACCAGAAGAAAAGCTGCGAGTGAGAGTCGTGCAGTTGCTGATCAGCAGACAACCATTCCTGAAGAAGATGTAATATATCATGTGAAATATGAAGAGTGAGTTTTGCTGACTTCGTGGCTAATAAATTCATTTGGATTGTGATGTCAGTGGGGAATTTGATTGTAGAGATCCCTGAGGTAAAACAGAACTGGGCTAACACAGTAATTGTATGAGTTAACCACATTAACCGTAAGACAAAACACATGGACTGGAATCATGTTTTTAGAGATATGAAATGCTATTACCCAAGTTTTTAATGGGTTGCAATACTAATTAAGTTAGGCTGCTCTTTTTAGCTGTGACTGCGTAGGAGGAGTTTTTATTCTATCCAGTATTCCAGTTTGTGGCTTCAGTTCTTAAATCAACTCATCTAGGTAAAATATACTGTGAATAAAGTGTGATGATGAATCTTACTTTTCTTCCCTGACCTTCCAAGTTATCCAGAGAATGGAGTTGTGGAACTGAGTTCGAATGATGTACGGTCTCGTGCACGGACTATCTTGAAATGGCATCAGCTAGAAGTAGGACAGGTGGTGATGGTCAACTACAATCCTGATGAACCAACAGAGAGAGGTTTTTGGTATGATGCCGAGATCCTGCAGAAAAGGGAAACAAAACTGATCAGGGAGATAAATGCGAAGATATTACTTGGGTAAGCAATTCAGAACAGAAATGTGGGATAAATGGAACTCTCCAGCTCTACTTAAGCTTTCATGAGGTCTGAGTGACTGCAAAACAAACAAACAAACAATGCAAACAAATCCTGGAAACAAACAAACAAAACCAGCAACAGAAATGCTGAGGAGAGATGGAAAACTGAACTGTCTTTTGGGGTGATTGAGTTAAACTGGAGGAATTGAGCGCTTCAGGGAATCACAGGGCATACTGATCTGTGGATTTGCATACTGCTGGGAGAAAAAGCCCCATATTTGCTAGGAGGTGAAGAATTTTCTGTTTACTGTATTACCTAGTGGTTTAACAAAAACTTCAGGGTAATGTTTTGTGTTACATATGAAAATTTAGCATAAGCCTTCACTTTATAAGGATGATAATCTTCAATTCCTTTCTAACATGTACATATGAAGAACTCTCAATTTGTGTTTCATATGATAAAAGTACATTTTCAGAGGGTTGCCAGAACATTCCTTCTTCCTCTCACAGTAGTTATTTTGATTTTATAAAGGAGTAGAGGATTTTAGTCTGGTTGTTATCAACAAAAAATATTTCAATGACAATTTCAACTCTACGAGTACCTAAATTTTCAGCGAAGTAAAAGGAGCACACTTCAATTACATGGAAGGATTCCATGGTGATGCTGTCATACTACTGTTGTAGATCACTTGATGCTACAATGGGTTTTCTTGAGATACAGGACTGATGTCAGATCAGTTTATATTACTGATGTATGTGAGCTGTGAATTCATACTGTATGATACTTTCTGAACTTTGACTTTTATCAACTTATTGTAGGGAGGCTGGTGATTCTTTGAATGACTGCAGAATTAAATTTGTGGATGACATTTATAAAATTGAAGAACCAGGCAGTGTTTGTCCAATTAGTGCCAGACCATTGAAACGTGAGTATTGTATTTTTCACACACGTACTGTTATCTTATTTTGTGATGTTCTCTTAATAACGTCTGAGCATCAGAATTCTAAAACACGTGCAGCTGTGATTCCTCTGACCATTCGTAATGTATCTTCGCACTTCCTGGAGCGTTGTTTCTTTTTGCTAACAGGACAAAGTGGACCTGTGTGTAAAGCTTGTAAGGACAACCCAAACAAAACCTGCAGGATCTGTGCTTGCCATATCTGTGGGGGTAAACAAGATCCTGATAAACAGCTCATGTGTGATGAGTGTGATATGGCTTTCCACATCTACTGCCTCAACCCTCCCCTCAGTAGTATACCAGATGACGAGGACTGGTAAGTTCTAATAATGCTGTGTGGTATCATTGTTGCCATCTAGACTGAGTAGTGAGTAAGGACTAGGGCTTCCTGTTAGTTGGCGAGTGATTGTGTGAGGTGAAGAGTTGTGCTACTTTTTTGGGTGTTCTGTGTGTGTTGAGCTTTTTATTTTGTTTTTGTTAGGAAACTTCATAGCTTCTCTTGAAAATCAGGTCAGTGAGAGTATTTTTTTTAGGACAGTAAGCCAGTGGCTTTCAAACTTTTTTTCCCTAGTTTTGGGACATACGTTTCCTCAAAGAAAAATGGAAGTAACTCATAAAGTAATGCTTCCTATTTATTTCCATGGAAACTACAACAGTTACTAAAAGCACAGCAACACTACTTGATAGAGCAAGTTCTAGGTCACAAAAAACTGTTTCACAACACAGTCACCACCATTAGGTGTGCATTTTTGTTCATTTGGCAGGCACTGATAATTATCAATGGATACAGTTTTTTCTGCGCAGAGAAATTCAGTTCAAACCCTTTTCTTCATTTGCACTTCCACGTCAGACACCATTTTGTCACGCTGCTCCTCTGCTGTCATCTGTCGCATGGCAACAAAATGTAACGGGATATTGGTGGGAAGATTGCACCTCTACTGCCATCCCACCGACATCCACCTCTTCTGTTGTGGGCCAACGTGAAATAAGATAGGAGGTGTTACTTTGGAGCAGCTGTCATGTGGGAAAATATATGGTTTTATTTCATGTATAACATGCTGAAATGGGATGCAATAATTTTTATGACACAGATGATTTCTTGACATGTGCAGTGGTTTAGAAGATGGTGCAAGGCCACTAACACAGCTAACACAGATCCAATTTGTGTATGGGGAGTTGCTTCAGTGTCCTGTCTCTGTTCATATGGGGAAACTGTAACATTATAACCCTATTTTTGAGACTCTTCTCTTTTGAAATTTAAGCTTTGCTGCTTGTTAACTTTCTTTGGTTTATGAGTTCAGGTATTGCCCTGAATGTCGAAATGATGCAAGTGAGGTGGTTCTGGCAGGAGAGAAATTAAAAGAAAGTAAAAAGAAACAAAAGATGGCATCTGCTAATTCATCGTCGCGGAGAGACTGGGGCAAGGTCAGGTTTTATTTTTGAAGAATAGCGTTGGTGTGTGTTTCCTTGTAATTCTTGGCTAACTGGTCTCCCTTTTGAAATAGGGCATGGCATGTGTTGGTCGCACAAAGGAATGTACCATTGTACCCTCTAACCACTATGGACCAATTCCTGGTATTCCAGTTGGCACCATGTGGAAGTTCAGAGTTCAGGTATGAAACAGAATCCTGGTCTCTTACACTATAAGAAAAGTGGGAATGATCTCGCTCTTACATGTAAAACCTGGAATGGTTAATATTAGAAGTATACGTCCCTGGATATGTAAATGCAGAAAGGAAAGAATTCTGGCTTTGTATCGAGTGTTCTACAGCTAATGTTGCATTGTTCAGGCCTTTCAGGTGTGGGTCTTTTTTGATGACTTAAAATCCAGACCAAATGTATGTACTTCCAGTTTTTTGCCCTGGAGGTGTGTGGTATCTCCCCCTTCTTCTGACGTCAAGTCTCTCTCAAAAATCTGGATATATTAAACAGCTTTATTGTCCTCTTATAAACGGTAGAAAGAAAGCTGTGAGCTACTCAGACTTTTTCAAGTAGGATGTGAATGCTGCCATTGCAAGTCTTCAAAGACTATTACCCTTATGTTGTTGTAGTACCTGTTGTTACTGCATGTTACTGTAAAATTCCTGGCATTTTCAATAAGCAATCTAGGTTGGAAAAATCAACATTTCTAAAATCACATAATGAAAAGTATCCTTGTGCTCAATTCACTGGAATACTCCATTGCTTCATTTTTGAAAACATTTTTCTTTCTTTTATCTGGACATTTTGGGAGGGTGGTGGTGAAGACAGTTTCTCTCTGGAATATATGCAAATCAAATGTGAAGTAATACTACTATTTTAGTTCCAAGACAAATAAGTGATCATGTTGCTTGTGGTTTGTTGATAGCAGTTGCCTATCAAACTTATGGATTGTTTTTTTGTTTGTTTTTTTTTTAAACTTAATCTAATTTTCCTCTTCCAGGTGAGCGAATCTGGTGTTCACAGGCCGCATGTGGCTGGGATCCATGGCAGAAGTAATGATGGTGCTTATTCCTTAGTTCTGGCAGGAGGCTATGAAGATGATATAGTAAGTGAATCTTTATTATTTATGTCTGAGAATCAAACTGACTTGCAGCTATGGTCATAATTACATCCTACATTCTCTCAGATGTTTCTCCATTCTCACGATAGTTATTTAGAATAAAATAGGTGAAGGAAGTCTCCAATCCAGGAAAATCGTCTGTATTAAGTTTAACATCTATATGTCAGCTTTTAATCCAGGAGTTCTTAGCTGTATTTTCTGGGTCTCATCAGACTCTGTATGTGCTGCAAGATCTAGAACAAAACCAGGGATAGAAGTGCTACTGCTGAATGTATCTGTTTGTTCACCTAGCCAAATGTAATCCTTATCAGGCTTTCCCAGCCTGTAATGCTCATTCTTATAGTTCATCAGTGTAGTACTACTCCCTGACTCCTTCCCCCCGAATGCCCCTTTGAACCTCTCACAAAACACCTATGAATGCAGAATATATCTCATCTACTGTTTTGAGTCCTAATTCATGCAGCAGTGTAAGTACCAACGCACAAGTTAAATGATCTTTCATCCAGAACACGCCATGCGCTTCCACACAGGTTCTGTGCAAGTGGTGTGCTACTCTCTTGGCAGAGGCCTCTTTGCACTTTTCAGGTGTGATGAGACAGCAGTTGCAACCCTGATTTCTCTTCTGCTTTTCTCAAGAGGGAACTACACTTAAATGGAGGAATTATCTTTCCTTTTTGTTTTTTTTTGTTTTTGTTTTTTTTTCCAGAATGCAATGTTATAGCTACTTGATTAAAAGACTTTTCCTTCTTGTATTGAATTACTCTTGTGAATATGTTGAAACAATCCATGTGCGTTTCAGGATCACGGGAATTCCTTCACATATACAGGGAGTGGAGGTCGTGATCTTTCTGGAAACAAACGTACAGCAGAACAGTCTTGTGATCAAAAACTCACCAATATGAACAGGTTGGCAACATTTACATTCAATTTCTAACCTAGAAGCTGGCAATCTGTCAACTTGAGTGTTTGTTTGTACTATTTGTAATCAAAAGAAACTGGCTAAGTGCAAAAACTACGTTTGTAGGCTGCAGATCAGCTGTGCAGTGGAAATGTTTTTTAGAGTGTACTGTGCAGTTGGACTAGATGATCTTGCAGGTCGTTTCCAACCTTGCGATTCTATGATTCTATAAATCAAATACAATAAAAAACGATAGTCGTCTCACATTCAATATTGGCTCAAACATAAGAACAGAGCAGTAAAATAGCATAAACATGTTTTTGGTAAGCCAAGCTAAGGTTCAGCACAGTGACAATACACTGCTACTCTTTGTAGTAATAGCACCTGACTGTATCAGTGCAGTGTTGAGTAAAACAGTGTCGTTGAACTCCGTAGTTGAGCTCTGTAGTAATTGGGTTACATATAAGTTCTGCTTTTCTTTATCTTCCCTTTTTGATTCTGAAGTTCTGTCTGGTAAATATGCTAACTTGAATGGACTTTTTCTTACAGAGCTTTGGCTCTAAACTGCAGTGCTCCCATCAATGACAAAAATGGAGCTGAAGCTAAGGACTGGAGAGCTGGAAAACCAGTCCGAGTGGTGAGGAATGTAAAAGGAGGCAAACACAGCAAATATGCTCCTGTAGAAGGGAACAGATATGATGGCATATATAAGGTAAGTAGGATTTGAATCTACTGATTTAAGAAAAGAGAATTTGCTTATGGCAAATAAGTTTTTATAATGTCTGGTGGACTTGAATGTGGCTTTTTTTTTTTTTTTTTTTAAAGGTTGTGAAATACTGGCCTGAGACAGGGAAATCTGGATTTCTAGTGTGGCGTTACTTGCTTAGGAGAGATGATGAAGAACCTGCTCCTTGGACCAAAGAAGGAAAGGACAGGATGAAGAAGCTTGGCCTAACAATGCAGGTGTGCTTCTGGAACATCACTGTGGTTCCCTTGGAGAACTTGATGGATAGCAGGGCTTTTTCTGTTATACATTGAGGATAATCTGCTCTGCATTGTGTAAGATTCTAGGAATCAAGAGAGCCCGCTTTAGACTGAGGGGGATTGAAGTGCTTTCAATCTTATGGGTTGTTTTCCTTCTTACATCAGGAGATGAAATGGACAAAACTAATTTTCTTTTAGCGAATTTTTGCAGCCTAGCGCTTTGGAAGAACAGTGTTCCATTATTATGCCAGTTGCTCCAGGAATTACCTTTCCAACCTGTAATAGACAGTAAGTCTATGAATTGGCATATTTACATTGGATGCTTTTTGGTTTTGTTTTCCTACAGTATCCTGAGGGGTATTTGGAAGCCGTTGCAAACAAAGATAAAGAAAATAATGGAGATGATGAGTTTGATACTCCAGGGAAAGGAAAGAGGAAAAGAAAATCAGCAGGTTTGTGAAGTAGGCAAGTGGATATAGAAAGCCTTGTAGGTCTTTGTGCATTTTACTAATCTTGTTTGTTTGATTTTGGTTTTGTTTTTTGTTTAAAGTCATTCTGTTTTCTTTCAGGAGCGGAGGAAAAGGTCCTTAACTCTCCTTCAGGGACTCCGAAGAAATCAAAAGTTGAGCCATACAAATTGACGTCTCAGCAGAAATCTCTTATAAGGAATGATGAAGCCAATGAAAAACTGTGGAATGAAGTACTTGATGCTCTTAAAGATGGACCGGTAAATCATGCTTGTCATTCCTGAAATAAAGTGACGGTTAACTTATCCCTAGATATAAACTTCTTGGCTGTGCAAGGAAGTAGCTTCAGATTGTTAGTATTTTTTTTCATTGTGGGCATCCACAGCATGACTTTAAAGCACTGGTTCGTACTCGTATTTAAGACCAATAGGAAGGAGAGGAACTTGCTAATTTTTTTTTTTTTGGTGTGTGTTGAGCTTTGTAGAAAAATTGCTTGTGTCTTTCATAATGTAATAAATAGTTCAAATGTTTTCGTTACAGAAATTTCTAAATAAAGTTGAAGAGGCTTTCTTGTGTATTTGCTGCCAAGAGGTGGTGTTTCGGCCAGTCACAACTGTATGCCAACATAACGTGTGCAAGGTGAGCAGTTGGTGCAACTCTCCTGTTAAGCAGTTGAGCCAACAAACCTTGAACTGACTTGTTTAGTGATGAGATTTTGTTTTGACTCAATCTTTTAGCAGGATTCAGGTATATATGTGAAAACTTGTGATTTGATAATAGTTCTTTGCACAGAAAAGTTGATGCTTTAAGGAAAACTCCACTGCTGTATTGCTACTATCAGGTTATTTTAAAAGAGGGTAATGAGAGCTTATCTGTGGATTGAGTAATACTGCTCAGTGACACTGGAGTCAACAGTGTTACAAAGCATATGGGTTTTTAGTCTGTTTCTCCTTAGAGGTATGATGTGAACTGTTCTTATGGAAGGTACAGTAGTCTTCAACATTTCTACCATGCCCTAAAACACTGTGTCCATGACAAATGTGCTCTGAAGAACATGGACTTATTATAATAGTGGTTGCAATGAAGGAAGCTTTCTTTCCTATGACCAGCCTGGCAGCACTTTGGGGCTTTCTCAGCTCTTGTCAAGTACCTAGGTGGACTTGGATGTAGAAGGAATCTCAATTTCCAATAGGGGCTGCGTAGAATAAGCGGAACTGCAAGTCTTTCTATTCTTAACCAATTTCTTTATTCATCCTTCACCAGGATTGTTTGGATAGGTCCTTCAAAGCTGATGTGTACAGTTGTCCAGCCTGCCGCTACGACCTTGGCAAAAATTATACCATGCAAGTGAATGAAACACTGCAGACCATTCTAACTCAGCTCTTTCCTGGATATGGCAACGGGCGGTGATTCCGTAAAGCACTTCTAATTTTCTTTTATTCAAAATTATTAATGGATTTTACATGGGCTTAATTTAAGAAAACAAAAAAAAAGTAGTTGGTGTTCTCCCAGACCCTTAAAAAACAACAACAACAAAAAAATACCCAACATATTTCTTTAAAAAAAAAAAAACAAACAAAAAACAAAAACCTGAACCTTCCATATGTCCATAGTTTTTGGGTTTTTTTGTTCTAAATGCTGAACTTTGTACAATTACTTGCCCCTCAAAACTGCCATCCATCAGCAGAGTTTATTATATATATATATTTTTTAATGGGGATTTACAAAGTGCTTCTGGTAAGGCTGCTGACAATTGTGAAAGTTTTTCTGCTTTTTCTGTCCCTTCTCCCCACCTTTTTATTTTTGTTTTATTCAAAAAAAATGGCTTGGTTGCTAGAACAATCTTCAACATTTGGGATTTGGGCATAAAAGTAGATTTGTGCATCACCCTGGCAGCATTTTGGTGTGTAAGATGGTTCCTGGCTTATGACTTCTGTTTTTCTAACACAAGTGGGTATTTGTTATTTTTTCAATAACTGTTTTTATACATTTGACAAAACTTATCAAAGCCATTTCCTGCTAATTTTGTATGTTCAAACAAACTACTGGCTTATAGTCAAGTAGTTAGAGCAATATGAAGTACTACCTCAGTTGGACTTCCTATTAGGGAACTATTTGTTCAGCCAGGTTCTGTCTTCTGTCCTGAAATGCCATTATGGAATATACTAAAGCCATTCTTAAGTGCCTTTTTTCTTTCTTTTTTTTGAAATACTGGGCCCAGAATCACCATATATATGTATTATTTTTTTTCATAAGCACTGAATTGTTTAAACCTGCCAACCGGATTTTGTTCTTTGAGTAAAATATAACACTGTAGCTGTATATGATTATCATGGATTTGCAAACTTTCAGGTTTCCTCCTAATGCTAGGTGTGTGATGGTAACGTGAATTTATATATATATATTATTTTTTTCCCCACTGTGTTTCTACCTAGAAATGGAGAATAATTAATTTTGACTTTTGGAAACATTTTGGTTATTGTATATGACACCAAGGAGGCTTGCTTTTGTGAATGGATTGTCTTTTTCTAACATAATCAAAGTTTGCAGTTTAATACCTCAGCAAGACAGAGATGTTTTTAATCACATTTGACTGCAGACAGACTGGAACAAACGTGCCGGGTTTTGTTTTTCTTTACTCTTACTCTTTTAAAATTATAATGTTAATATGTTAGGGGAAAAATGTTTTATAGGCTTTTTGCTGAATTTGTTAATTTTTGTACAATGTGCAAGTTGAAGTTCTCAAAATAAATATCTTTTCAGATGAAGGTGTTGGCTGTTCTCCTTTAACTCTCTGAAACAGGTTTCCAGACCTAATTGCTGGTGCAGGACTTTTGTATTCATCTTTCATTACTCTAAGCCTATTTTAATTTTTAATACTTACTATTTTTCACTATAGAGAAATAATGGAAAAACTACTTTGATATTCTTGTACTCAAAATATTTCATAGTCAGCACTGGAGAAAAGTATATGGTATATTCAATTAAAATACAAAAAACAAGATTCTCAGCATCTCTTCAACTTTCAGGGGGTTAACTTTTTAGTTAGATTTCCACACTACTATAACCCAAATGTAAAAGATAGTTTTTTTTTTTTCCTACTCAAATGCAGCTAAAATAAATGGAAAAAAATATAGGCATTTAAGATGTTGCATAATTTCACAGCTTTGGTTTTCAAACGTTGTTTAGTTGCTCCCTTTAAGTTTATAATTTGGATTTTAAAAAACAGTTTGTTCTTCCATATAAATTTCAATTGTACTGTTCTGAGTTTTTGTTTATTTAACATCAATTAGGATAATTCTACTGCAAATTAGATGCTTTGTAACTTCGGCTTGCAGATCTCAAAACAGAGCTCCATTAGCAAAATTACTGTGCTATAAGATAGTGCATGGCTGTAAATGAGGTTTGCCCTGGGTTTTTTTTGTTTTGTTTTGGTTTGTTTGTTTGTTTTTAGTGTTAGTAGAATGGTGCTTCATTTCCTGTACAGACTTGTGTATACTGGTATTGTGTATATTGGTTATATATATATATATATATATATATATATATATATATATATATATATATATATATATATAAAATAGAGTAAAAATCTAGTATGTGATTTGGTAAAGTAACTGTTTTACAGATAAAGAACCAGGAAGCAAGAAAAGCGGTGTTGAAAGAACAGCGTAAGGATCTTTTATTTTGTGAATTCCCATCCCTTCCTAGTAAGTGTATGAAGTCTGTGGTCTGCATGACTGAACTGCATATGAATTAAAAAATGCCTGATACTTCATCGTGGTAGAGGTCTGTGATGCTGTAACTGCTGCCAGTTGGGGCAGAGTTCTGTGCTATGGTGACTGCGGGAGGCAGTCAGTGCTGGGCAGGCTGCAGGCACTCATCCCAACCTGTAGCATCTCTGCAGCAGATGGGCAAAAGTGCGGTTTGGATGGGCTCCTTCCAGTGGCTAAACTTCACTGTGTGGCACTGGTGGACGTGTGGGAAAGTGAAGTGTTGGTAAAGCACAAGGGTGTAAGGAATAAACTAACTGGGAAGAGGTACAGTGTGAGTAGTTACAGTTAAATGCTTTCTGAAAGTCTAGCTTATGTGGGATGGGGAACCTAAAACCTGTTATGGGCTCCTGCTGAGGAGCTGATTTCACTGCCTCCTTTGCCTTCCCCAGGTTTGAGCCCTCTGGGGTTCTGCCTTTCAGCTTTAGGTGAAAGGTGTGGAGTGTAGCCAGGGCTGTTTCCAAGCACCTCCGTTGTGGCCCAACAGGTGTACGCAGGTGAGTGCCCAGAGTCTTTTATGGCAACGTGGCTACCTTGAAATGCAACGTTCTGTTTTTAACCTCTACTACAGCGGTATTGCAACTGACGACTTCCTCTGACGGGCACCGCAGTGAGGAACTTGAAAGTAGACTGCACAAGGGCCTCAGCTGCACCTCATGGTGAGACCACCCCAATGGTACAGCGCTCGGGGCAGAGAACCGCTCACGGCCCGGTTCGCGCCTGAGACAGCGCGCCCCGCCGGGGGGGGGGGGGGGGGGGGGGGGGGGGGGGC